GGGGTTTTTTTTTTTTTTTTTTTTGCCATCATTAGAAGACAATTTTTTTCGCGTTTCGTATTAGTTTTACTCTGCGCGTCGTGTGGCCGCCGTCGGTCGTCCGGTATCGGTCGCGGCGCGCGCGCGCGCGCGCCCGTCGGTCCCGGGGAATTTTTTCCCGAATAATTTTTATTTTTCGAATTTTCCGCGACGGTCCGTCGTCCACGTACGTGCGGCGACGGCGTACCGGGACCCGGGTGTGCTCGCCGGGACCGTATCGTTTTCCGACTAACCGGACGCCGCCGGTGTACGACGTTCGGCTCGGAACACGTGTTCTCGGCGTCGGCACACCTGTTGATCGCTTACCGCCAAAAATCGTTATTGCCCGGCCGAACGAACGTCGCGTCGCGTTTCGGATGGGCGCGCGCGCGTCGTCGCCCTCGTCCGATTTCGACGCGAATCTCGCCGGCCGCGGACCTTTGTCCGTCGAAACCGACGGCGTTGTCATCGTCGTCGCCGCCGCCGCCGCCGTTTTCGTTACGTAAACGTGTCGGCTGTACGAAGGGCGATGATTGTTGTTCGGCCGTCGTGAATAGGCGAAAACCAAACAAACGTCGTTATTGACAAAATCGCCGTCCGACAAGAAGGCGAAAAAAAAAAAAAAAAATGTACGCGTCGGTGTCGGGCGATTGTTGAAGTTGGAAACGGAAAAAAAATAAATTGTCTTTTTTAAAAATGGAGGGAGATTGTGCGGCCCGGTTACGGCGCGACGTCGCGGTCGTGCGCGCGCTCGAATGGCGTCCCGGCGCGATAAAAGTGGGTGTGTATCGTATTTTGCCGCCAAAACCGCACGTCGCTGCGGTGCGGTTCTCGTCCGGCGTCGACGACAGTAATAATAATAATAATAATAAGAGAGGAAAAAAAAAAAAAATTGTACACCGCCGGGTAACAGGAAAGTGAAAAAAATCGATTTTAGGTTAGGTAATAATAACAATAACAACATTATGGGATTGTCGTCGTTGTCGCGCGGCGTACACCGTGGGGGCAGGTCGTGGGGCGGTGGCGTCGGCGGCGGCGGCGAGGGTCGGACGGTTGAAATTTAAAATGCACGAGACGTGTACGCCGGCGGTACACGCGCACGCGCATGCGCACGTACGTTACGTCGTCCGTCCGACCGGTAAGCCGCCGCCGCCGTCGCCGCCATCGCACGTCTCGCGTGCGCGTTTGACTTGAGCGCTTGACGCCCGTCCGGGAGAACCGGAATTTTTTTTCTCGAGAAAACGGCTCCTCGTCGTCGCGTACGGACGGATTTTCGCCGGTTCGGCGGGGCAAAAGAGAAACTCAACACGGTTAGCGGCTACGGGGACAGGACCGTGCGCGACGACGTTTGACGCCGAAACACGCGCGGCCGGCGTTCGGCCGCGGTTTTCAAACGCCGGCGAATACGACGTTTTCGTCTAGAATTGGCGGGAAACGCGACGTCCGTAGCACGCGCTCTCGGACGCCGATGGGAAAAATAACAA